TAAGCATTTACCTGGAGTTGTGTGGAGCTATTCAGACTAAAAGAACAGTTTGTTAGAGTGCCATTATTCAAAGTTATATCTACATATTTATGTCTGTGCATGAAAAGTGTAAATTGTGTCTCCAGTTACCCCTGAAATTGAGAAGTCTTTTTTTCATCCTATGCTGTGTATTATTCTACACATAAAAATAGACATCTCTAAACGTCCTTAATATAGGCTTTAGGAGGGGACTTATATTAGATGGAAACAAAGATGTGAGGTTGAGAGGTAGAGAGATTATAAAACCAATCCACCAGCTCAATGGCAAATTCACATAACAGTGATTATAGCAAAGAGAAAGTGTAACATGTAAACATTCGCCACAAAGGAAATCAAAGAGACCCCCGTGGCTCCTCAATCCCAGTCTCTCTCCAGGAAAAGATTTGTACGTCAGATAACTCAGTATTGAGCATAATTATAAGACTACATTATGTTCTGAATACTATCATATTTCCAACATCATAACAAAACACGTAGCCTTTAAAAAGGAGTAGAAAGAGTCCAACCTTCCGAGTCATACAGTATTTAAACTATAGGACGATATCTCTCCAACCTCTTCGAACGTCAAGTCTATTCATCGTGCAACTTCTCGATACAGGTGTTGACTAACATTTTAAGTCTGGAGAATAACCTTTGCTGCAGTGTTTTTCATAAGGACAAATAAAGAAGACACCTGGGCCTCCTCTGATTGGTTTAGCCTTTCTCAGTGCAATTCTGCTGCTAATCATCAGAAAGGTGTTTGGATGCCGTGTGTCCTCAGGCTGCTTCACTTACTGCTTTTACGAGTTTGAACTTTTCAGATGTGTTTGTAACTGGGTGTAAATTAAAGTGAATATGCAGCTAAAATTTAGTAACTAACATTGTATGCAACAAGACTTATTTTCACGGCTTATTCTGTAATCTGCTATCATTTATCTTGACAACAGTGAATTTAATGTGTTTGAGAAATGTTTTATCTCCAGCAGGAAAGACACAATTACTCACAAAATCTTTGCTTTCATCAACTTCACTTAGAGATAAGTAATTTACAGGAAACATCTCATTATAATAGTTCGGTAAGTGTTTAAAAGTGAGTCAATTTTTCTTTTCTCAGAACAGTATTGAAACTTCTCATCTTTTAAAACTTGTTGTGGAGAAATACAGTGGCTGAAACATGACCTGCATCCAACAGTTTTCCTGTATTTCTTCAAATGCTTTCAGGGGGTTTGAGATTAGATTTTGATGTATGTTCCATCCTCAACTCCAATACACTCTTACTTTTTCTCTTTGATTCATGTGAGATTCTGCAGCGTGGTGTTGTCAGGATTAATATGCCACAAATGAAACAAATCGTTCAAACATGTCCTCTTTAGATGTTATGACAGGATGGGATTTCTCAAGATTTCAGTGATTTACAGACTTTTCTGCTGCTTAACACATTTGCAGTTCACACAAGAGTCATGAGACTGTTCACATATCTGCGAAAGAAATTATCTTACTTTCTTTAATTAATAACCAAGTGATCGTCCATGCTTATCTCTCTGTATTACAGGGAACGACAGAGGAGCGAGGCTTCTCCTGAGGCAGCACTGGCTTAGCCACGATTACTGTCAGTGTGCAAAGAGGTACGCAGTCTAAACCTGATTATGCTCTCTTTTCCTAAGTACTAAAGCTTCTGTACGTAAACCACTGCAAACTTCAACACCAAGGAAGATTTTCAGACAAATGTTGAAGCTAAATAAATGGTTAATGCGTCCATTCAAAACTGTATGTTAAACGTGTGCATATTTTATACATGCTGTGTGAGATTATTAGGAACATTTTAAACATTTTCTCACTTGACAAAAAATGGCTACTAGAAAGACAAGGTTGTACCAGCTGTGTGTGTCTGTGTGTGTCTGTGTGTGTGTGTGTCTGTGTGTGTGTGTGTGTTTATGTGTGTGTGTGTGTCTGTGTGTGTGTGTGCGTGAATGATTTATTATGACCTTTATATTTCATTACATTTATTGTAGAGTTATCTTAAAATTAAATCCACTTTTGTCACATTTTAGTCAGAGGATCAGCTGGTGCTGCGTGCCTCTATGGAAATAAAGAGAGGGGCACACGGAGGAACGAAGCATCATACTGTGTTTCCTTAAAGACTAAAGTAAGTCATCTTTATTTAATCAAAAGTTCTTTACAATTGCTGTGAGCATTTTTCCCCTCACTCCGCACACTGATGGGAGCAGGGTCACCACACAGGAGCGTGCTTTTAGTGGTAAGCGGTGCTCCCGGAGGAAAATCTAAGCAGACATGGGGAGAACATGCAAACTCCACAAAGAATGGCCCCGTATGGTGGTGAATTGGCCCCAGGACCTCTGCATATCATAACCCCATAGCGCTAACACAGTAAGCCAAAAGCAGATGCACAACAGATACTTGGCTCACTGTGATCAGAGCGGCGACCTGCCACTAAACTCACATCCTTATTTTAGCTTGTGCCAATTTAATTACAGCCCATTTGTGTTAGACTAAATATATCAAAGCTATCCACTTAAGCCTGAAAACTAGAAGTTAGAAAATTAGATGAGCTCCAGTTTGCACTTATGATGATATTACGAACAATCTTCTTGTGCTGAGTCTTTGTCAGTGTGCAGTAAAGAGCTCAGTCACGCACACTCTTCAGACAGCAATGTTTGAATATTATTGTTAAATTTCCTTCTAGAAGCACAGATTATAGATGTTCACCTTAATGAAATGAACTCTCAGGAAAATATCAAAGGGAGATGTCTGTACCAACCAAATAAATTAGTCATTGGTGTACTTCACAATCCCTGTGAATCCAAATACATTGGAAAAGACCAAAAGGTAACTTTGAAAGACATAGTAATGTAGTTTTATTTTTTAGGTACATTGTTTATGTCACATACTTGCACTCTTTTCATCAGAGTTTGTTTTTAGATACAGTTGGAACACCTCCAAGTTGTTACTTAAAGTAAAACCTTTGACTACATATTTTCTTTACATTAAGTGCTGAGAAACACAGAATATTTATTTTACAAAGTTTACATTTATTCACAATCTCAATCTTTGAGGCCAAAGCACTTTGACAACCCCCAGACTGTTGGAGTAACCACCACTTATAGATTCTGTTCAGTTAATATTCTCCCGTGGAGACAGTTGAGCTGAGCTTTATGCAGACAAACAGCATTTAGCTTTACAACATTATGCACTTTTTAACATTTATAGATGTAATGTTGATTTATATATTCTTTCTTTTTACGGTAACATTTGTAACAATTACCAAAATATGGTGAAATTGCTATTTTGCCTTCTATTGAAAACTATGTTTAAAATCATCCAAGTAAAAGGAGGACTGTTGACAAGATTCTAATTTACCTGCATTTTTCTCTTGAATTGAACTAAAGCGTCTTCAGTGTTTTAACATGACCAGAATGTGTCTTTGTAACAACATTTGTGCATTACCTACACTACTTCCCTGCAGCTGAGCAATTTCACCAGAAAATGAGTGAAATTTCCCCAGAAATGAGAGAAATCCTGAACATCGTCAGAAGATGTTTTGAAGCTGAGGGAGTGACAGTGAGAGGTGGTGCTCTACTTCATACATCCGCAGACTCTGCTGTCCATCCCTTTATCGCTGCATCCTCTCCGCTCTGTGATATGGAAGCGGCTCTAAAAACACATCTTGTAGCGGATACATTTTGAAAGAGGCTGACAACAGTAAATTGGCTATTTGCTCCCCAGAGCCTTTCCCAGACTTTCAGCACCTCACTATCGGTACAGTGCAGTAATTGCTTATGTTGCAATTCTGCACATAACACACAAAAGAATTTTGTCTCATTACTTTTCTCTATAGGTGAAATATAGGTTAACAGAAACTACTTACTCTAAATCAGGCCAAAAAAGTTGTTGCTCAGGAAATAACAAATACTTATCACTTTTCTGCAACAAACTTCAATAACCGCCACAAAAGCAAATTAAGTAGTATTTTTATGAGCTCGGTATGGAGTGGATTATGTTGCTCAACCATAGAATTAAAGATGAGAGGAAGAGCCAAAGGGGCAACAAAAGGCGGATGTGACATGAGTCATGAAATAGAAATAAAAAGCGCACACTCAGGCCGGCCGCAGCTGACTCGTATCTAAGCATGTACAGTACAACAGAGACTGGCTTTGGGCCATGTGAGCCTGAAAAAGGAGAAAGAAGCTGAGAGGCTCCTGTTTGTCTTTTCACCACTTTTAGTTAAAGATTCCTTCCACCGCAGCAGCGGCATTTGCCCCAACATTCATGTGGTTCAGAACTTCATTCCTTTGATTGAGTGTCTTTGCTCTTTATGTCCGATGTTGTGGGGAAGGTACAATTGTCTGCTACGGCACCAAAGTGTGTTTAGTGCAAGGAAAAAATATTCCTCATAACCCATGAACATTCCCACATATTATCTCTTGAGGATCACACTGTTTCATTATATGAACGACCAACCAAGATAACAGATAAAGGAAGTGAAAGCAAAACCTTGTTTAAACTAACAATGTTATAAACTTCTCCACCACTTAATCTCATGACCTCTGGTGTGTTCCTTGGACTTCATGATGCTGTTTAGTGACCAATAGTACTTAACACACCATCGCAAAACATCTGTAATTCTCCTGAGATTAGAATATTGTGTAGTGGACTATGCTCGATAATTATGTCACTGAATTCATGTTTGTGGTCGTAGTCAGACAAAATGTGGGAAGGTTCACGGGTAAGTCTGGGAATAATCCGGTCACAGGTGGGCACTTTGTGCCAGTCCAAGTCCAGACAGTCAGTGACACTGGAGCGAGCATTTGCACATTACACAGACCATTGCACACGTAGAGTCTGGTCTTTGGCTGCCTCCCAAGGGAGAAGTTGATATGATGCAGTGGCATGTATGGCATGAAGTTGAATTGAAAAAGGAGTGGTCCATTGTTTTCATCAGTGGTTTGGATTCTTCAAAGGCATCAACAGTCCCAGCGCACAGCCAGTGGCAGCAGTATCAGCAGCAGTATCGGCAGTAGCACTGGCAGTGGTCGTTCAGCTGCTCCGTGCTGACTGCCCTTTGCTCCAGAGCCGGTGTTGGAGTTCTTCTCAGAATACGGCGGAATCACATTGAACTCTTTGCTTCTTCGCTCTTGCTCTGCCTCGTCCTCACTATCCTCCATCTGAAAAACAGAACTTAGTGACTTAAATTCTATTTAGCCAACCAATTGTATTTTTTGCACTACGCAACTAAACTAAAGCTAATATCACATAACTAAGGTGTGTGTGAATATATAGTACTGCTGGGTTTGGAGTAAAGATGAAGCAGAGCAATAACAGACTTGGAGCTGATGCACTGTAACTCATGGAAGTCTAATGCGTTATAATGGTGAAGCCAGAAGTCCTGATTCAGCTTCTTTATATATCCTCCAGTTTTGAATTTTATTAAGGAGAGCTGCTTTTGTATTCACTTTGTGAATTGGAATCATGGGATAACTCAAGCGGTACTCTTTTCATAGGAGATGTTCGACAGCAATCAAGACAAGTAAACATTGGCATAATAAACGTATGTATTATTTAGGTTATAATACCGCTATTTTCAAAAGGCATATGTAACCCGGTTAATTTTTCAGAGTATTTTCCTTCCCTCCGCATCTAAACCATTATTTACGCTAATTATGGAAGTATAAGGGTCACTGTTATGCCTCCAACATTGCAGACGCCTCTTGCCAACTGCGGAAGGGCTGTGCATTATTTTGATCTGCCAAAATATACAGAGAACTGGTGAGTGTTGCATTTGTTTACATGCGGAGCTAACATGCTAAATGCTAACGCCCATTCAACTGTATGAGCGTATTCATATTGGTGCTGGCGCCAGTTGGATCGCTCCTATCACTGTTAATACGTGTTATTGATTGCAATGATTATTGTACTTGGTTTAATAGTGATTTTAATGATATGATGATGAAATGAAATCTATGAATGATGATATATTGTTTGTTAGTTATGAATTGTGATGCTTGATAAATTGTGTCACTTATGGCTGGTCCTGTCTGTACGCACAGGCCAGGTTCCTATTCTGGATGGCGAGCTAAGTCTGGAAAAGACGACAAAGACTGTACCATTGACTCTGCTAGTGCGGTAGGAGGCGCTGCAGCCGCTCCCCACACACACACTACACTCACACACAAACCGTGTGTGAATGTGAACTGAGACTGTGGACTAAATCTTTCACAAGAACCTGCTTTTATCCTTGGAAATTGGATTACATGAAATGGACTCTTATGGATGAAATGGAACATAATGAACTGTGCACAAATTGTAAATAATGTATATATGACTTCACTGTACAATAACTAAACACAACTGAGCTCAATATATTTGTTGTGTGTGGTTCATTGAGCAGCCCATTTTTCCTCCGAGCTGAACCTAGAGAACCTGATTCTAGCCTGTTGTTGTTATTATTCTTGTCTTTAGTATTCTATTTTCTAGTGTTACTATTAATGTAACATAGTACATGTTACACATATGTTGTACAAACTCTACAGTGATTCTCAAGTTGTGTGCCTGGGACCCATTGACAATCCACTAATGTAGTCATCACCAACCAACACTAGACTATAATGTTATTAACAACATGTAGATTAAGCAATAATTAAAACCGCCAACTGTGCTCATGTCTCGCACTGGTCAGTCATAATGAAATGCTCCCGTAGATTTGAATCAGCAGTTATGCATACACAATACCATAAATTTAGAACTACTGTAGAAATTAAACTGTCACAGATGATCTGTCTTTTAATGTGGCCCTACTCATCATTTAGACTTTTAAACTGCTCTTGTTCTTTGAGCTGAAAACTGCGCACAAACAATAACCAGATATTGGCATATGCCCCAGAACACAGATCAAATACATCAGACACTTTCTTGACCTGTAGCCAGTTTCCCTCCCTGTTGAGTTTGCGTTAGCTCCAAAAACAAACAACTGGACGACACAAGCTAGCGTCAATCATGAAAGGCCTTTATTATCATTTCAGTGCTCACAAAAGCAAATGTCTCTCTGCTCGTGGGGCTGCACTGGACGAGCTGGAGGTAAACATACAGTAGCTCTCAGGAAGCAGCTGTCATCTTCTCATGGCTCAGCTGTGCTGTTACAAGACAGGCTGTTTCCTTTGGCCAGTAATGACCACCAAACTGTTTTACTCGTTTGTGTTAGTGGCTTTTATTGAACACATTTACAAATGTCATAGTATGATATAATGTTCTGCAGCTGTGTCTAAAGTTTACAGCAATGAGGGTGACGTTATAATGTTCTGCATTGATCGACAAAGTTTAGTGTTAGTTCGAAGAACATGTACCAGTGCCTCTTCTAAATGCTCCTGTCTCAAACCTGTAATGATGTGTTGTAATTGTAACCCTAATTTGCAGAATGCACAATGAGCATTATTACTATTTATAAATAAATGCCAATATTGGTTGGAAAAATCCAGAAAAAGCAAAAATAGTACATTATTGCAGTGCATTCCTTCAAAACAGTGACACATAATGATTGGAGTTGGGAAAATTAGGCCCAACATTATTCCATCAGCTTTAATGTCAAAGTCCCCAACAAGTTTGGATTAAACTTGCCACACGTATTTTCTGATCCTTACAAAATTCCATGAACAAATGCAGGACAAATAGACTGACAAATTCTTGGTTGGATTTTTTTTTCTCCAAGGCTTATATCCGAGTCTCATATATGACTCCATGCAGTCGCTTTAAGGTTAAAGGTTGCTGCTTTATCCCTTCTAAGTAACTACTGTATTTATTCCAAGTCAGAACATCGTAACAAATCCCTGAGACTGTCTGCACTCTAAGTTCAATCACATTTAGGTGAGGAAATGAAGAGAATTTGGGACACAAAGTTGCAAACGTGAATGTTGTGAATCACAGTAAAATAAACACCTCCAGATTATCCCCAGCACAATAGTTCTTTTCACACATACAGCACATACAACTCGTCAGCGTTAAACCTCAGCCCAAAGTACCACTCAGGGGCTGTTGGTTGTGTGCGCACAGCAACAATGGCTGAAAGTGGATTTATCATAAGTAATCTTTATTTATAAAGCACTTTTCACAGAGTCATAAAGAATTCTCTTAACACAGAGACAGGAGAGTGGAATGATTATAACTAAGGTTATAAATATAAATATAGAGAATGTTTTATCATAAATTCACAATTCAATATTTAGCCAAAATCGTGGAGCCCTGGTTCATATAGTGCAAAAGGCAGATCAACATCAGAATTCCTGTATTGTTAATGTGAACAGGAAGGCACAAACTAAGAAACTGCTTTGACATATGGTATAAACAAGTATTACAATAGTCAAACAGAGATGTAGAAGACATGCATGAAAATATGAAGATAAATCTAACATATAAAGACACACAAAAGACATATAACACCAGATTTGAGAAGTGATGAAGTGACAGCAGCACTGCACAAAAATGACAAAATATGAGGTAATAAATGCTTGAATCAAGGGTTTTTATCTTAATCTGAGTACACTCTGACCGTCTTCAAACAGGATCTGCAAATGGGACAAGCCGTTTAGTCTTATTTTCAAGCGCTGTTGCAATTTATTTCTCATTCCAAGGGAGACATTTCTTGAATATTCTTGTATCTTTCAAAACAAGACATTTTAGCTTGTCCCATTGTAAATGCCTGGATTCACGCATTTACATTTATTACCAGATTTTTTTTGTTATTTTTGCAGCGATATAAAGTGGCAGACGTATAAAGTGGCGATTGTTGTGGGCCAAGATATAATAACAACTTATGAAGCATCCAAGTAACTGCAGGATTCAATAATAATATGGACTCTCTAGATCTTGGTACGCGTGGAATGTTTAAAAAGCATAAATGAGATCAGAAGCCTGGCGGGCACTTACACTGTTGGATTGTGGGACGCTGTTGTGGCTGATGTGGAGCCTCTCTGGGTGCACATGCTCAGACGGAGGAGAGACGGGGGCTGCAGTGTGCTCCTCAGAGGGGGAAGGAGGGGGTGCGGCCGAGACCCCCATGGAGCTGATGGCACTCCCTGAACACAAGCAGCAGGGAACAGCCTCATTATGTTATCATTTCTGCACAAGGCTTCGCGGCAAATTTCAGACGGTTTGGAGATGAATGTCTGGAAACTGCACAACACAAGTGACAGTGGGTGGTCAAATGTTGCACAGTTTTTGAGGAGTAAACAATAATAAGATGGATGTGTGGGAAATATAGGGTTGAAAGGAATTTTAGAGATGATTTATGGGGGAGTTGAGATTTTGCAAACATGGTGTATTGTCGTCCGTTTGCCTGAAGACGCAGCAATTTTCGAGAAAGCGCCAAAAGTGTTTGACTACATTACGTCGATTAGAATGAACCTTACAATGGTTTTTATGTTCTTATAATTATACAGATTTATAATTTACTGAATAAGTAATGAGAAAGGGGTTTATTCTGCTACATTTTCCCCACAGCTCGCTCTTTTTAAAAATTTTTTATTATTATTCATTCATATGCTGACGCAGCGGTTAGTGCTTGTGCTTCACAGTAAGAAGGTCCCAACAGGGCCTTTCTGTGTGGAGTTTGCATGTTTTCCCCCTAACAGTGTAGGTTTCCTCTGAGTGCGCCGGTTTCCCCCGAGTGCGCCGGTTTCCCCTACCATTAAAAACATGTGCAATAGTTCAGGGTTATTGAGAAAGTGCAACTGTGGGACAAGATACGTACATTAGTCCTATATGCTAGGTTTGTTCATGAACATCTATACGTCACGACTGAACGAACAATTCTTAAATAATACAATTGATAATCTACATCAATTGTATCAGAGTTGTTGAGTCAGTAGCAGTGTTTTCCACATCTACGTAAAGTCATCACATTAAAAAGAATATATGATTTCTATATAACAACCCATACTGTAGCTGTTTTTGCTCTTTTTTACTTAATTGCCTTACAACACAAAAACATAGTAAATTTACATTATAACAAACAAAATAGAATGCTGAGATTGTACTCAAAATGCAAACAAGAATTCAGATTCAGAAAAGAGGTTCATTAAATATTAATAGGAAGTAGTAGGGTTCAACTTGGGTTAATCAAGGGTTGGATTATTCATTTTTGGCCTGTAGAAAATTAATACATTGAAACAACGAACATAACTTCAAAGCGAACAAAGTGGTTGAATGTCTGCGGTGATTGAGTATGATTCTATTCTATCATTTCCGTTTTTACATTTTACATTGTAGATTTTAAGATCAAAGGCTTTGTCTCTGATGTAACAGAATCCACCGACCTCAGAGACATAACGACTGTTACAACAAAACATGGCAAACAAGAATCGATATTTGGGCCACACCTGCCTGAACCCCAAGCTAAAAACCCTGGGGTCTGCAGCCAGCTTTAGTCTCTTCCATTCATCCTTGCGTTCAAACCCATAACTAAACAAAACATTTAATGTTGAGCTTTGGCCAAAAGTAGCACAGTATTTAGAGATATACAAACAACTGAAGTCACTTTCTGTTTACCAGATTCAGATGAAGGATTTATCGACTCTGGAGAATTGGAAAGCTGTGATCACAACTGGCGCTGGGCCAAACAGAAGATGGAATATCTTTGATTCATTTATTCAGAAGAAAAAAAAACCTTTTAATGGTCTGTTGCTTTGCACTTTCTAATTATAGTCTACATCATTTGAATTCTGTATTAATGCATATTATAGAACACTCAGAGCAGATCTATTTAGTTTCACACTGATGGGATGACAGGAGAAAGGTACCCTCGTCACTGTCACACGGGGACACTGCGCCTGCCACTCCAATTACTGCAGATGCGTGGAAATAATCACGGCTTTTGGCAGTGTCTCCGCTCAAACGGATGTCTGGCTGAGCAAAGCCGTAAGTTTTAATCAATGTGGGTATCTTGGTCTCATCTTGGAGTGAGTCTGGTTGGATCTCGACCAACCAGACTAAGCTTACTGGCTGGATTGGTCACTGTTTTAAGGAGACTTATTATGAAAATCTACTTTTTTGAGCTTTTAACCAAGTCACAACATTGTTCTTCATCAAACAACAGAACTGGAGTTGTTTTTAGATCCGTCCACGCTAATACCAGGAACTTCTGGCACAAACATGTAACTTCTAAAAGTTCCTGTCTCCGTCCTGTTATTATACCGCTTTGACATCACGTCAGTTTTCTGCCTTTTAAAATAAAAGTATTGTTCATAAAAAATCTATTTGGCATTTTTTTTTGCAATCACATGGCTGTATTTGCAGGTGATCATTTTCAAATTTGTGAAAAAAACCTAAATAAATTACACTCTTCCCTCTATTTCACATTTCAAAACATGACATGATATATATTATTTAAAGGAACAACAAAACTAATTTCAAACTTTTCCTATGGTTATGGTTTATTGTTAATTTTATAAAAAATGTACATGGCATCTCGAACTTTGGTTCTCTGATTATGACACGAGTCTTACATTTGGGTTGCCAGTTTCAAGAGTGAAAACCAGTGTGTTTGCTCATTCCAAACCTCAGTGATCAGCGTCCTTTATTTGCAGATGAAGACTCTTGTGACATATGGTTTAATTTTAATTAACTCAATACAAGAAAATCAAATGTTCCATTTAATGTGTGCATATAGTTTTAATTGAATGAATGAGTGTGTGAATGGAGTAGAGTAATGTCCTTTGGTCTGGGGAACCCTTATATCCATGGAGATGCTAGTCAAATCTAGCCCGTTATGCTATTTTTTTCTTCAACAAGTTACAAAGTCCAGTGCTTCTCAAATGGAGGTCATTTTTAACAGATCAAGAGCCTTTTTTAAACACTGTATCTACTATGCTGCAAAAACATAATCTAGAAATCTAGAAAATCATTGTGTGTTTATTTGTACGGCTCGTCAAGGCTCTTGTGCATCCTGTGTCAACATTTCAGACCTGTAGACGCTTTGGAGTGTTTTTATTGTATACAAGTTGAATATTTTATGTGTACATAAGACAATCCTTTGAGTGTATTGTGTGTACATGTTTGATTAGATTAAAAATAATTATACATAAAAAATACAATTCTAAGTATTGTTTCTGTTTTGTGTCATAATAAGAAACTGTCATACATTGAAAAAAAAAACACTTCTGCTTGAAAATGTGTGTTTCACAAAAAGTCTGTTTTCTCCATATCTTGGTTGGGAAACAGCATTTTGTGTGGAAGTTAAATTGTACTCTCCATCCATCCATTTTCTTCCCCTTAATCCATTTCTGGGTCAGGGGGTGGCAGTCAGAGCTGCGCCCAGCTCACAGAGCACCAGCCCCTCACTGATCCTCCTGCAGGTGGTGAGTCTACAGGAGTCTTTCAGCGGGGGCTTCAGGCAAAGTGGGTTTATGTGTCTTGCCCAAGTGAAGTAGATCTTGTGGTGGTCGCGAACCTACGACCTTCAGGCTCCAAGACCAATGCTCTACCAACTGAGCCACTACCGCCCTGTTGTACTCTCAATTGCTAAAAAACTAAAAGGGGTAAAAACTTACTTTTTTTTTTTTTTAATGAACGGCAAGAGACAGAGCTTTCATTTGGTATGTTTCATACTTGTGTCAACCAAGGGCTCACATTTATATGAGGTTTGAAAAAACACTAAAAATATCCAAAATCCCTGGCAGTATAAGGGATGCTGCTTTATATATGGCTGGTAGTGAATGCGTTAATCATGAAATTAAGAAACAAAATTTTAAAAATCCCCTACATTTGTTTTTTGTTTTTTAAGAAAAAAAGAAAACGCATTTTACTTGAAATTAAACATTGTTTTTATTTATTACAAGAAATCAAAAAATTGAAATATGGGTCGCTTACACGGATTCTCATCCTTGTCAATAGTATAAATGTTTTACCTTGTGTGCAACACCAACCTGCAACTGGAAATCATCCTGATTCTATAATCTGGATTATTTCCATATGTTCAACACGTTCATTAATATGAAAACCTTTTTTGTTTTTTTAGTCCAGACCAACAAGAGTGAACGCATTTGTAAGCTCAGATCTATCGTGGTTGGTTCCATGGGGCGGTACAGTGTGTCCTGGATACTTACGTAGGCAGATGTTGGAGGAGAACAGGGTCAGGATGTGTTCGCAGGCCTGCCAGTCGTTCCCACTGCCGTCACACGTGCACCACTGGGAAACCTCTGTGCTGCTGTTGCTCACATAGTTTGGGGTCATAATAGTCCCTAGACACAAACAAAAACACTGGAGATTACAAGAACTATAGAAAACTTTAAACTTAATTTCTCAATATGGAACTCGGAGCTGAGCAGAGATAAAACATACAATATTAGATCCCCAGGGAGGCACTCGTCCTGCTCTTTATATTAACATTTTCAGGTTGCACAATATCAGAGTTTTTGAAAGAATGTGAAAACAAAAGGAAATCATGACTTCCGGGTCACTTGCTGGAAATGGCAAATCGAGTTTTAAAAGTGGAGTCAACTGAATTGGAGCAACTCAGCGTTTATTGCAGTCAACAAAAGTGCAAACTAATACAAACCGTGAAAAGTTTTCCCTCAGTACAGGCCTTTTTTACACTTTTTGTATTCTGCAATTACGCTTTGAGACTCACCAATGAGACCGGCATAGGCCTTGAGGCACATGGCTCTGCTCTCACGGACACATCCAGAGGGAGACTGGGACGAGGGCTGGCAGTTTTGTTGAAAATCTGCAAATCGTGATCTGACATACACAAAACAAATTATCATGAGAGATGCTGTTGCTTTGGTTTGAATGTCTGATTAGGGGTTTGAAAGGGCATGTTTTTTTTATTTTTTCACTGTTGGATTTTCAATTGAGTATATGTTGTAATTCAAAGTGTTCCTAAAGAGAGCACTACTTTGAAGCCCAAACTTAAGATATCTTTGACATATTTTATTTACATACACTGAGATATTGAAGACATTGTGAGAGAGTTTTGTATGCACATTTTGCTTTTGGGCGGCACGGTGGCTGAGTGGATAGCACTCTCGCCTCTCAGCAAGAAGGTCCTGGGTTCGAATCCCGGCCGGACCAGGGCCTTTCTGAGTGGAGTTTGCATGTTCTCCCTGTGTCTGCGTAGGTTTCCTCCGGGTACTCCGGTTTCCCCTACCACTAAAAATATGTACAATAGGTCTGGCATGCGCCTCCTGTTCGGCGACAAGTGCCCAAAAATAACAATTGTAAACCACTTTGTGACTCTGGTCTGTGAAAGGTGGTATATAAATAAAGCTTACTTACTTTATTTATTAACACTTTTTAATTTATTTTATTTTATTAGGACTTTTAAGCTGTGGTACCTAACTATCAACCCACAAAAAAATCTAACAAAGTATTAAAATCCTTCAAACAATAGTTCCACACTCTCAAATCAATTCATTTTCACATGCATGTATTTTTTGGCCTCTCACTTCTTTAGATCAGCTTTTTCCAGGTGGAAAAGTGAGAAGAAAACAGAACCACCCCCAAATAGTGATTCACTTGGCTCTTTCTTCCAAGAATGAAAAATATTTGATGTTTTCTAACAGATAAAGACAGAATCTTGTGGTCTGATTTATTCACAACATTTTACATTTACAAGACTCTTTCTGTATTATTTACAGGGGAAAACTGTTGATACCCTAGCTTTAAACTCCACATGACAATTATAACTTAATTATTTATTGGGTGATAACCAGGTAAGAAAAATAATTGAAAAGCAAAAATCAAAAGCATTTTGGTATTTTGGCATTGTAAAAGGTGGTACCTGCACAGCTCGTCCCTGATGCAGTAGATGTGCAGGCTCAGGCAGTTTGGTTTGCCCACTCTCTCCTCTCCTCTCACCATTTCCTCATAAGAACACGAGGGGACAATGGTTTTGCGCCGCCGCTCCCCACACAGAGTATCTGAGCAGGGGCAGAAGAGTATGGCAAAGCTGTACTCTTCTGGGACACGCTCCAGGAAGCGCCGTAATGCTTTGTGGCATTTCTGCCGGTTACAGCTGCTGTCGGACAGGCCTGATCTCTTAGTGCAGGCCACCACGTACTCTGAGCGCAGAGATCCACACTTCTCGTACAGCCCACAGTCCTGCGCTGCCTTCAGACACTGGTTCTGCCCGTCCACTGAGAGAGAAGAGGCTGTGGAAGAGCACCACGATCAGAAATCCTTCATGCGGTGGACCAACAGAGTGAGAGCAGCTGTACCTGACATTATCGACGCCATACGAGACATCTCAATGTTTCTCACGAGGGTGATTTTCAGTTCTTCATAAGGAGATACGTCATACTCTTCATATGCTGAAACAACAAATGCTTCATTTTAATACATTCTGAGAATCTCTGGCCACAAGAAGCGGTGGCAGTGCACACCTGCGAATCTGACCATCCAGTAGACCTTTAGGCAGTGCTCCTCTCTCTTGGAGCCCCGCTGACATTTGCACACCTGTAGAGGGCGATAATACTGCAGAGCATGTTGGGCCTCCAGGCACTCAAGCCGGGCATCTGAACTGAGTGGAGACACCGCCTCCTCAGCCGCACAGTACTCCAGCAGTCGGTACTGTCCCATACAGGCCTGGTCCTGCACACAGCCCTGCTCCGCCACCACACAGTCCAGAGAGGCAGAGCCCAGAGAGCTGCCTGTGGAGACACATCATCTATGTGTGAAGGGACATATATCACATTTGGCTTTCTCTTTGTATGATGTCTCATTTTTCTTTGTGCTGAATATTTTAGGAGTGGCTCTCATTCTGCTGTGTCCTGAGCTGAATTTAAAATGCTCTGGACTGTGGCTTCTCGCACCACCAGGTTCTACTCCTATAGAAACTAGTGATGCTGTGCAGTGCTTTTTACAGTTGTACATATTATTTCAACATAATCCCATGGAATGTTTTCGTAAAGGTCACTGTTTTTATTGCCTATTGACCATTTGTGTCTGCAATAAAGCCTAATAATGACATTACTAATCTTTGTATTAAGTGCAGTGTTTTGACATACTGTATTTTCAGTGGTTATAAAAAATATTCATTCCCCAGAGAGCCTTTCTCTCTTTATCACAGCACAACTGCAAAATGTTTTTATTTTCAGAATTTGGAAGGCAAATGTAAAGTGAAAGCAACATTTGCTGAATAAAAAACTGCAAAAAACACTATGCTCTGAGGGCAAACAATAGCCGTTAAACGGACGACAAACTGGAACTAAATGCAAAACAATAGGTGTGGTGGAAATGATGCTCTTCACTGCTCAACACTCCAGTGTCACCGACCCCACGATGAAACCTGGGGTAATGGAAGTGTCATGGGGCTGCTTTTGTCAGAGTTAATAGGAATGTTGATGGAGCCACACGTTTGATAGAAAAGCTGTTGTCATACAATGAAGAAGAACTTCAAAGTCCAGACCAACCCAACCCTCTGGAACTCACTCCCACTGCCCATTAGAAACCCATCTTTTCAAACAAGCTTTTCCGTAAACCCCTTTTTTAGTATTGTATTTTATTCCCCATGTGAAGCGTCTTTGAGTGTCCAAAAAAGCGCTATACAAGTTTGATGTTTTATTATTATTATTAATATAATAACTGTAAAAACTGCTGTTAACTACTGTCCTCCACCTAATGTGATGGAGCAAAAAGAGACAAATCGCTATAACAACTCATTCATACCTGTTTCAGTGAATCTGATAGATAAGGACATGAGGAGGTGATGTATTTTATTCATAGAAATGTAGCAGACCCATTGGGTCACACCCAATCAAAAGGAAAAAAAATAAACAATCTTTAATCTGGAATCTTACAATGCGTAATGGTTCATGGGGTATGAATACTTTTTCCTTAAATTAAGAAAAAGGCAAACAAGTAAATTAACACCAGAACAAAAACCAATCCGTATTTGTGCAGTTTATAAACTAGGGAAAGTGATTGGCAGGCGGAGAGGAAGAAGCAGGACCTCAACTAATTTTTCACACCTATTGTTAAGAGGGGGCATTGTAATCGTGTGTGTGTCTCTGTCTGTACACAGGATTGCACCAAAAATACAGGGCAGATTATGCTAAAATGGTATGTAGATGTGATGTGATGGTAGGCGGACTCCATTAACATTTGGAGATGATCTGTGGTGCACTTTGCAGTTACTGCTGAGACACAGTGGAGGTAGGGCCAAGACAGAAATTACTGCCTTTTCATGAAAATTATAAGGTTTGTATTCTCAGAAAATGTATCTCCATGTGTGACACAACTACAAATGATACGTGCTTTCCGTCAGCCGGCTTTTGTATTTTTGTGTTCATATTTCACATTGATTAAATGCATCATTTATTAGTTGAAGAAACAACAAGTGACGATGAATCCAGGTAAATCTCCCTGTCCCTCCTTGAGCCTCTGTGCCGTGGGTGAGTATGTTTGCTCTTGATAGTCCATTGTAATAATGCTGATGTCAAAGAGCTTAAATTCTCACATACTTTTGTTTAATGGGCTGCACTTCACTCATGCTCCTGCTGACTGGCGTCAAAAGCAAAGTCTAAAATCAAATTCTGCAGCACAATTTTACGCGCCACATGAGGTCCATGTATGTTCTGGCACGAGGGCCATCACAAGCCCCAGCCCCGCTCAGTGCCTCTGCAGCAGAAGCTTCACTCTCACAAACTGATGCTTCATTGTTCTGCTCACCATCATTGCTGTGGCTCTGAATTCATGTTTACATTTTGAAAACTATACGTACACTATTTCAATGACAATAATCTAAAATATATTCTTGTTGACAAATGTAGTTCAAGTTCTATTCAATTTACTTTTGTATAGCACTAAATCACAACAGTAGTCGTCTCAGAGGACTTTAACAACTTGTCGATTCGCCAACACAGATCAGAGAATCAAACCGTTCAAACATAGGAAATCCCATAATCCCAAACACATAAGAGCCATTGATATGGGGCGGATGACCACTGTCCATAAATGTCATGGATCTCCATTGTACTTAGACCCTCTCGAAAACAACTCGAAAACCCGCAGTGTAACAGTGAATATTCCCAATTATATAAAGGATACTGTATCATGTTGTGGAACACATGACAGTAACATTTACATTTATAATCATTGACCTGATTGTTTTCCTTCATCCACTGTTTGAGGTGCAGTCTGAAAGTGCATTATGTAACGTTATCTTAATACTATATTTTATTTTCTGTTTTGAAATTGATCATAATATGCAAAATGGCATATCATGATCAAAGAATATGAATTGCTTGTTCAAGACTTTTGGACCAGTGTATGGTCCTGTGGCTCAGAGAATAGACTTTAAAACAGCTCTGCTTGTGTACAAATCTCTCCATGGCCTCACACCAAACTATATTAGTGACATGTTAGTCCCATATGAACCAGCCCGGACTCTGAGGAGCACAGGGACTGGACTCCTGTTAGTGCCCAGAGTCAGAACTAAACATGGGGAGGCTGCTTTTCAGATTCATGCTGCTAAAATCTGGAACAGTCTTCCTGAAGATGTGAGACAGGCCTCCTCTCTGACAATGTTTAAAACCAGGTTAAAGACGGTTCTGTTTAGCTGTGCATACAACTGAGGGATTTTATATTTTTATCTTTTTTTTTTTAATGTACTGTGATTATTTATGATTTTAATGCTTTCTTGTTCTGTTCATCACTTTGAATTGCCTTGTGTATGAATTGTGCTATACAAATAAACTTGCCTTGCCTTGCCTTGCCTTGGTGTACAATCTATAAACCCAGCTGTGAATACAACTGTGGGATTATATCTTCACTCGTTTTTATGTACCGTGATTATTTATGATTTTAATGCCTTATTTGACTGCCTCTATCTTGTTTTGTTCATCACTGCGAGTTGTGTTGTGTATGAATTGTGCGATACAAATACACTTTTTTGGCATCTTTAAAAAAATGTATTACATTTTTGTTTTTTGTCTGATGAATACACAACGTACTGCAGCTTGACACACATATTCAAGTCTAACGGGCAAACCTGTACACACTCATGGAGAGAGTCAACGTAACCCCACAGTGCACCAGCAGAGCGTGCACATACAGTAAGTAGGTGGCCAGTCCTTTGAGTTGAGAGGGCATTTGTGATGGGAGAGTGGTGCAAGCCCAACACGTGAAATACATTCAGAGACGAGCACAGAAGGAGAGGAAGTCACAGACCCAGTGCTAACCCAAAGTCTCAGCGTCCACCTTTGAACCAATTCTTCTGCTTCGAAAGGCAGCAGGGGAAAAATTAATTATGATTCAAGGTTTTGTTTGTGTAAAACTGAAAGAAGGTAAATCAGCTTTCTCTCACTTTGAATGGAGTGCTCTGCCTAATGATATCAAATGTTCTCTGACGTTGACCTGATTTAAGAAAACTAAAGACTCTTTTGTTGAAACTTTCTTTTGAACTTAGACCTTTTTGTCACTTAGACTTTTGAATGTCTCTATCTCTACCTGTAAATAATGAATCAGGCTAATGCCATGACTCCTCTGGTGTTTATCACTTTGGGCAACAGTTCTTGTAGGAAATGTGAATAAACAAATGGAGAGACGTAGATACAGTTTTCAGTTATATAGAGACAAAATTATTTACAAAAATGCAAATGAAGCATATTAGCGCTAGGACAAGGGTTTAAAATGAACTCAACAATGACAGCTCAAAATAACTAGTTGTATGTAGATTTTGTTTTTTGGGTTTTTATGCACGATGTCCTTTTCTTTGGCTCTGACCTCAGCGTCCTCTTACTGCTGCCTTTTTTGGGTAAATGTCTCAAATAGGGCTGTAAACACATTTTTGTTTCTACAGTTATTATAGTTACTCATGATACCTCTTTTCAACATGTAGGTCAGGTTTAAAAAAACAGCTGATTACTCAACTATTTGCCAAGTGCTTCATGAATTGATTATCTTGTTACAACCCTGATGCAGAGGGAGACTGTAGAGTTTTGGGCCTCACTGATCCATTTCTCGTGTTGTAAAATGGCATTGATCATATTTCACATTTGTAAATCTGTTAAAGTTCAGCCCTTTGTCGAGTGTGCCTCTGTTCGTGTGGGACTTCATGTTCTTGCACGAGTTGAGAGTGACTTGGGAGAGCAGAATAATTTCAGAAAAGACTCCTTCTAAAAGGTGAGTCTGAACAAACCATGAAAATCCCTTGTCCATCCTTCTAACCCTCTCTCTTCAACACACCCAGGTTTGATTCAAATCCTGTGGTCTCCCTGGAGTCTATAACCCTGAATACAATAGATGCCCAGAAAACGTCTGATCTGCAGGTGTAGCAAACATGGATAGTTCAAAACTGTCTCAAGTTGCTTCAAAAGAAATGTTGAAGATAGCCTGACAGAAAACTGTGTGCTGCAAAACTATGAACACCCAAACTACAGCAGTGTCATGTGGCTGTGCTTGTATTCTTATGGAGAAAGACGCCACTGCACTAGACAGCATCAATACAGCATCTTCTCACGAGAACAATGCAGTATTCAATTATTATTACGTAAAATTACATGCATTTCTGATCAATGTGGAATTAAAAACAACATGCTTTTAAACAGTGCCCCCACTGAAAGAACTCAGCTCCTGTAGACTCACCACCTGCTGGAGGATCAGTGAGGGGCTGGTGCTCTGTGTACTGGGTGCAGCTCTGACTGCCACC